GGCACAGCCCGGGCTGAGGGCCCCCCCCCCCCCCCCGCCCCGAGTGCACAAATTTTTGTGCACCGGGCCTCTAGTTCTACAATAAAATATTAGTGAAAGTCTGGAAGATATGCTTAATCATTATTATAAATTTATTCATTTCTTATAGTTCTTTTCTTACTTTTTGCTTTACATACTTTGAGGCTTGATATTAGTTCATGCAAGTGTTCTTTGTTGTAAGTTTTTTAAAAAATGCTTAAAATGTATTTGGCATCTTTTTCTGTCAGCATGTTTTCTTTTTATCATTTCTCTTAATGACCCTATAGTATTCTACTATATCTTCCAGACTTTAAGTAATATTTCATTGTAGAATAATTAAGTTGTTTTATTATACTTTTTGGAAGTATAGTTATACTCTGCTTCCACTTTCTCACTCTCACATTCTTACCTCATTTTCAACTCTATCTTTTAATTAAAACTGTTTTCTTGAAAGTTGTTAGTGGACTCATTTAAGAAAAATGACCCTTTGAAATTCCTTTGTAGCCCTGGCCCACGTGGCTAAGTTGGTTGGAGTGTCATCCAGTACACCAAAAGTTGGTGGGTTCAATTCCCAGTCAAGACACATATCCAGGTTGTAGGTTTTATCCCTATCCTGGCCATGTGTGTGAGGCAACCAATTGATGTTTCTTTCTCACATCAATGCTTTCCTCCCTCCCTTTCTCTCTCTAAAAATCAATAAAAATTTTCTTTGTACAACCAGCCGCACCTCCCGGGCACTGGAGCCAGCACTGACTGTCTACACACGTGCCTGTCCATGGCTCTCGCCGGCTGCACCTCCTAGGCACCCAAGCTGGCCCAGACTATTGGTGTCCACGGCTCCCGCTGGCCACATGTCACAGACACCCCAGCTTGCCCCTAACTATCAGTGGCCATGTCTCCTGGACACCTGAGCTGGCCCCTGACTCACGGTGCTCACGGGGTTTCTGCTGACCTGTGCCACCAGTCCTCCCAATACCCTGAGCCTGCCCTTGACTGTCGGGGCACGCTACACTCCCACCAAGCCTGCCCCACAGCTCAGGTGTCATGCAACTTGGCCACTGGACCCTTCAGGGGCAGCAAAAATGGGGAGACAAAAAGCAACCCCCAAAGGAAAGAAAAGGAGGAATCCCCCTCCCAAAGGAACTAAATGAAAGAGAGGCATGCAATATGTCAGAAAAAGAATTCAGAATAATGGTCATACAGTTCATAAACTGGATGGACAAGAAAATCAACAACCTATTTAAGAATCAGGAAATCAAAAGTGATACAGCTACAATAAAACACACGATGGAAGGTTTCAACAGTAGAGTAAGAGAAGCAAAGGACTGAATTAGTGAGCTAGAAGATAGGGTAGAGAAACAAGCCTAATCTGAACAGCAACTGGAGAGAAAAATTTGAAAGCAGGAGGAGAGCCTAAGGGAGCTTTGGGACAACATTAAACAAAGTAACATACTTATAATTGGGGTGCCAAAAGGACAAGAAGAGCAGCAAGGATTAGAGAACCTATTTGAAGAAATAATGACAGAAAACTTCCCTGATATGGGGAAGAAAAAAGTTACACAAGCACAGAAAGTCCCAAATAAGTTGAATCCCAAAAGACCCACCCCAAGGTATGTTGTAATTACAATGGCAAACATTTACAACAAAGAATCTTAAGGGCTGCAAGAGAGAGACAGAGAGTTACCTACAAAGGATCTCCCATTAGATTATCAAATGATTTCTCAACAGAAACACTTCAGGTCAGAAGGGAATGGAATGAAATATACAAAGTAATGCAAAGCAAGAAACTGAATCCAAGAATACTCTATCCAGCAAGGCTATCATTCAAAATTGAACGGGAAATCAGGAACTTCACAGACAAAAAATGGCTAAGGGAATTTATCAATACCAAGCCAGCAATGCAAGAAATGCTAAAGGGACTGTTGGAAAAAGAAGGAAAACAAAAGGGGGAAGAAGGAACACAGGCACAAAAAATAATGGCTACAACAAACAATTACCTATCAATAATAACTTTAAATGTAAATGGACTAAATGCTCCAAACAAAAGACATTGAGTGGCTGAATGGATAAGAAAACATGACCCTATATATGCTGTTTACAAGAGACCCACCTCAGAACAAGAGACTCACACAGACTGAAAGTGAAGGGCTGGAAAAATATCTTTCAGGC